GTAATTTAAGAAACAAAACAAACAAGCAAAGGGAAAAAAGAAAAGAGAGCCAAACCAAGAAACAAACTCTTAACTATAGAGAACAAACTGATGGTTACCAGAAGGGGAGGGAAGTGGGGGGATGAGTTAAATAAGGGATGAGGATTAAGGAGGGCACTTGTGATGAGCACTGGGTATTGTATGGAAGTGTTGAATCACTAAATTTACACCTGAAACTAATATTACACTGTATGTTAAGTAACTGGAATTTAAATAAAAAAAATAAATAAATAAGCCCCAAGCAGAAAGGCAGGAATCTTACTGAGCTGAGGAGAAACAGATTGGAATTTGGGGATGCCAAAGTAGCTAGCATTTGGGAGGAAACATTATAGAGATACGGGATTTAAAGTAGATTAAACTGAAAAACTGTCCAAATAGCCTACCTCACTGGCTAACTCCTTAGTTACACATGCCCTGGGTGAGACCCTAAAAACCCAACAGAAAACAGCATCTAAGAGAACAAAGAACTAAGTGAAAGTGTAATTAAATAGCTATGTGATGCTGCAAATATTAAAATTTGATTTTAAGCCCAGGTAAGATGAAGGGAGGCAGAGATATCAGTAGATACCCTGTGCTTTCAGTCAACACAAAAGTATTACATCTGGGAATAAGGACAAACATGAAACAGAAAATCCTTAATTATGACTAAAGCTGTTTCTCAAAAGAATCAAAATTATCCTCCTATATTTATATACCTGCTAGAAGAAAACTTAGACTTCTGTGAAAGAAGATGACAGCATTTACAGTCTCTCTAATTTTTCATCCACAATATCTGGCTAAAAAAAAAAAAAAAAAAAAAAGAACCAGATAACTAAAAGCCAGAATTTAAAAGAACAACAAAAATAGACCTAGAGATAAGATGTTAAAGTAATCAGTGACTTTAATATAAAGATAATTCATGTGTTCAATAAAACTGAGGAGAATATGAAGAATTTCAACAGAGATCTGGAATCTGTTAGAGAACTTCTGGTAAACTGGAACACAAGTCGGTAAACTATATATAAATTTGAAGCACAGAGAGAAAAAGGGATAGAAAACACCAAAAAGAGTGTGAGAGATATATAAAGAACAGTGATAAGTCTAACATGCATGTATTTAATTGGAGTTCTAGAAAGAGGAGATGATGGTTCAGAAACAATATTTGAAGAAACACTGGCTAAAAGTGTTTCAAAGTTAATAAAAATCCATTAAACCACAGAATCAAGACACTATGAATCTCACGTAGATTACAAATGTAAGGAAAACCACACCTGGGTAGATCACAGTTATATTGCTAATAACCAAGACAAAGAGAAAAATCTTAAAAGCACTCAGAGGGAAAAAATCCCACACATTTCCTTCAAAGAAGCAACAATAAAGCTATAAGCTTACTTTTCAAAAGAAATTACAAAAATCAGGACATAATGGCATGACATTAAAATGCTCAAAGTGTTTTAAAAATGCCATCCTACTATCTCACCTGGGACTCTATACACAATAGAAATATTATTCAAAAAAAGAAGGCAAAAATTAAGGCCTTTTCAGACAAACAAAAGCTGAGAGAATTTATTACCAATAGATCTTCACCATAACAAATACTAAAGACTTATTCAGCCTGAAGAAAATGATTCCACATGGAACCACAAGCTTGCATAAAGGAATGAAGAGAACCAGAAAGGGTATGTAATTAATCTAAGTAAAATAGACTGGTTTATAAAAGACAAATATAAAATAATAACAATAATAATATCTTATATGGATTTGATTATAAATAGAAGTAAAATATATGACAATAGCACAATAGATCAGAGAGATAGATAAAGTTAAACTGTTGTAAAATCCTCTAATTGGGGGAAATTGTAAACGTGCCACTTAAAGGTAAACTATAATAAGTCTAGGATGAATGTTGTATTCTATTGTTGCTCAAAAAACTACCCCAAAATGTATTGGTTTAAAATAATAACATCATTTATTTTGCTTGTAAATCTATAATTTAGGCAGGGGTCAGTGGGGTCATCTTGTCTCTACTCAGAATCAGCTATGGTGGCTCAAAGGCTGAATACTGGAACCATCTGAAGACTTACTAACTTATCTGTCTGGTAGTTGGCACTAGCCATTGGCTGGAATCTCCTTGGGGCTATGCCCAGAATACCTCCGTGTAGTCATTCCATATGGCTGCCTAACATAGCATGGTGGCTGGATTCCAAGGTTGGGTGCTTAGAGAATAGAGCCAAGCAGAAGCTATATCACCTTTCCTAACCTATCATCAGAAGTCATGCAGTGTCACTTCCACTACATTCTATTGGTTTAGAAGCAAGTCACTATGGACAACCCACATTCAGAGGGAGGGAAAGTCGAACTCTTCCTGTTGTTGGGAGGAATATCAAAGAGTAAGTTTTAAAAGCACAAGTGTAAGTTTCAACAACTTTCAAGTTGTATATTCTACATACAAGTGTTTAGTCAGGTGTATTTATTGAAAATATCTTTTTCCGGGGTGCCTGGGTGGCGCAGTCGGTTAAGCGTCCCACTTCAGCCAGGTCACGATCTCGTGGCCCGTGAGTTCGAGCCCCGCGTCGGGCTCTGGGCTGATGGCTCAGAGCCTGGAGCCTATTTCCGATTCTGTGTCTCCCTCTCTCTCTGCCCCTCCCCCATTCATGCTCTGTCTCTCTCTGTCCCAAAAATAAATAAATGTTGAAAAAAAAATTTTTTTTAAAAAAAGAAAATATCTTTTTCCAATTAGTAGCTTATGTCTCATTCTCTCCTTTCATGAAGAGAAGTTCTTACTTATAATATAGTACACTTTATCATGTTTTCCCTTAAACTTAATGGTTTTTGTGTGTCCTAATTAGGAACCTGACCCCAAGGTCATGATGATATATTCTTACTTTTCATGTCTTGATCAACAATAATTTAGAATTAATTTTTATGTATAGTGTGAGGTTGGGATCCAGTTTTCTTTTATTTATTTATTTATTTTTGGATATCCTATTGACTAGGAACAATTTATTATAATGAAGATGTCCCACTGTAGAGTTAACCTGTGTCTTAAATCAATGGCATATACAATGAGTGTGTCTCAGGACTTTCTGTTCTATTCCATTTGTCAATTAGTCTATCCTAGTGAACACTATGCTATTTTTTTTAAGTTTATTTTGAGAGAGACAGAGACGGCATGAGCAGGAGAGGGGCAAAGAGGGAGAGGGAGAGGAGAATCCCAAGCTGATTCTACATTGCCAGCACAGAGCCTGATGTGGGGTTCAAACTCACAAACTCTGAGATCATGACCTGAGCCTAAACCAAGAGCCATTCGCTCAACTGACTGAGCGAACCAGGTGCCCCAACACTACACTATTTTAATTACTCTGACTCTAATAAATCTTGATAGTCCGGTAAGCTAGCCTCTCACCTTGTTCTTTGTGTATCAGATCCTTGGATTTCCATAGAAATTTTAGAATTAGCTTGTCGAGTTTCACATAGGTTAAGATTTTGATTGCACTATAGCTATAGATCAATAAAAAGAGAACTGACATCTATGTAATATTGAGTCTTCCAATCCATGAACATAACATTCCTCCATTTATTTAGGTCTTTAATCTCTCTCAGTACTCTTTCATAGTTTTTGATATTGAAGACCTGTGGGTCTTCATTAGATTCATTCATAAGATTTTTATATTTGTAATACTATTAATAGTCTCTTAAATTCACTTTGTAATTATTCATACCTGGTTTGTAAAAATATCATTGTGCTTCTATTTGTATTTGCATAACAACTTGCATCCAGCAATCTCTAAATTCTTTTGAATACACTATGGATAGATGTGTCATCTGCAAATGGAAAGAATTTTATTTCCTCCTTTCTGGTCTCTGTTTTCTGCTTGCCTTAATGTACTGACTAGCACTTCTATACAATGTTGAATAGAAATAGTATTAAAGGACATTCTGTATTTGAGAGAACTGGGATTGATGAGGAGACTTTTTTTTTTCAATATATGAAATTTATTGTCAAATTGGTTTCCATACAACACCCAGTGCTCATCCCAAAAGGTGCCCTCTGATGAGGAGACTTCTATTTAGAACTCTGAACTTGTTCATGTGTATTTTTAAGTGTATTACCCACTTAAAATTATAAATCATTTAACAACTTAAAGGCCATAATTTTCACTTATGAAGCATGTTTAGTAGTTATATTTTTCTTTAGTATAGAAGGAAATGCTGCATAATTAGGAATTAAAGATTCTGTGGAACACTTAATGAGCATAAGCATAGATATGCCATTCCAGCACCAATTTAAAAAAAAACTTGTGTTGACAAAAGAAAATCGAGTCATTTCAGTGAGCTAAAAATGAACTGAGACAAAGTTACATTTTCTGTAAGCCTGTCTTGCTCCAAAGACCATTACTTAGGTTTAGGAAGTGTGGGTGTCCAGCAAGTGGCATCTGTTGCCTATTATCAGGAGCAGAAATCTGAGAGCTTCTGCCATTGCATCTTGGTATCAGTTTAGTTGCCAAGGAAAACACAATCCAGTCAACTACTTGATGGAACAATTCTTCACTCATATGAAGACCAAGTAGTATCAGTTTTAGTAGTGAATGTCAGTTTTCCATGCAAGAGGTCCCTCCCAGAAGCCGATCTAGGGCAATTGGCCTGTACGGACCCATCTTGTTGTTTAGCAACCCTTGCCAAAGGGTATATCCTCTTTCCAAAGTGGAGTTGGCCAGGTGTCATATTACATACACAGGCACTATAACACACACAATGCTTAAGCAGAAAAAAGTACACATTGAGTTTGAAGTGGAAAGATATTCAGACAATTCCAGCACAAGCTATAGAGACTATGTCTCTTGGTAAGAAGTGTTCTGGCCCAAGACCCAGTCTTGTGTGACCCAGTGGGGAATCAAAAGACTGTATTTCAGACTGCCTTTCTCAATAGATTGGCTCTTTCATAGAAAACAAAGTAAAATTATGAGAGTCACAATTTTAAATGAGTTAGAAAATATATAATTACCCTGAGAGTTTTTATCCATAGCAAAGCTTCATAATGAAGCATAAGGATACAAGATTTATAATCCATGTTTTATTATCTATGAGCAATTGAGCAATTTTTAAATTTCTCTGAACTTTACTTTTCTTGTATGTAGTAAAATGGAGCTAATACCACCAGCTTCCAAGTTGTAACATATTAACTGAGATAACATATGTAAAATCCCTACCACCTCCCAAGACAGTCATTAAATGCTCACCTGCAGGGTCAAACTTACAAGAAAATCTGGGTAGTATAAGTGCCTTTCTTTATAATAAGAAAACTAGCAAATAAAGTATTACTAGGCAATTTTATTTAATACTTTACATATCTGAATAACTGATTAAAAATCAAATGTTTAACAGTTTTTAAAGAGTTGCACAAAAGGAAAATAATGGGGAAAGTAATAGCCTGTTTGCCAAATTCAATTGGATGTGGGCTCAGTTTCATTAAACCTAAAAAAAATTCTAAGTCTTTAGATGCTGAGACTCCAAAAAGTAGCAGTTGGAATTAATACTGGTTTTGGATTCACGATTCACAGAAATCATTATATTTCTTTCTTGATGCTGTAGATGTTTAACAACATGTTGACAGAAGCCTAACTTCTTGCATGGATTACACATCAAAACACCAATTTGCACAAATAAATTAGAAATTGACAACAAATACATTCAGATATTATGGAACTGTATAACAAATACAAAGTTATTAACTTTCCAGAGGGATTTAAAAAAGTATTAAAGAGTGGTCTTTTTCATCATCCTCAAAAATTCTTCCTCACTTATTTCTCCATCCCTATCAGGATCAGCTTCATCAAGCATTTCCTATAAAACAAAATGTAAATACAGTATGTGAAATCATTAAAAATGAATGATATAATATTCAAATATATATATACAAATTTTATTTTGAATGTATTTGAGTCCATCTAAGGAATATAATTGTAAATTATATATATAAATTACAATTGTATATAATATATATAAATTACAATTGTATATA